CGGGAGCGCGGGCGCGGCGGCGGGCGCGGCGGGCGCGGCGGGGCACGAGGAGGAGGGCGCGCGCGCGACGTTCCGCCCGCCCGTGCGCGACCCCGCGCTGGCCGCCTGGCGCGGCCTCGGCGCGGGTGCGGCGGGCGAGGGCGGCGCGCGCTGGGCGGGGCGGCGCTGCCTGGCGCCAACCGACGCCGGCGCGGCTTCCGGCGGCGACGCCTACCTCGCCTCGCTGGCGCGCTTCTGCGCCAGGCTGGGCGGGCGTGTCGGTGCGCGCGCGAGGGAGCGCCTTGCGGCCGCACGCTCACTGGTCGCGCGCGGCGCGGCCGAGGATGCGGCAGCCGCGCGGGTCGCCGCAGAGCGTGAGCGCGCGGACCGCGCGGCGCGCGCCGCGCAGGCCGCCGCGCAGCAGCGCGCCGCGGCACAGGCCGCCGTCACGCCCATCAACAATCCCTACGGCGACGCGCAGGCCCAGGCCCAGGCCGCGCGTGGGGCGGGCGCGCGCGCCGCCCAGCAGGGCCCAGGCACCCTACAGCACGCGGGGTCTGTCCCAGCGGCGCGCGCCGCCAAGGCGGCCGCCGCCGCCGCGCCGCCGCTGGCCCGCCAGGCCTCGGCCATGCAGGCGTCCCAGCAGCACCCGGCGCCCGGCGCCGCGCAGGCGCCGGCGCTGACGCCGCAGCAGCAGCAGCAGCAGGCCGCCGCCGCGGCGGCCATGCAGTTCCAGCTGGCAGCCATGCAGCAGCAGCAGCAGCAGAACGGCGCCACGCCCGCGGCCGCGTGGCACGCCGCGCTGCTGCAATACCAGCAGTACCTCGCGTACCAGCACCACGCACAGGCGGCGGCGGCGGCGGGGGGGCAGAAGCCGGGGCAACCGGGGCTGCCCATGGCGTGGATGCCGGGGCAGTTTGGCGTGCCCGGGGCCGCGCCGACCCAGCAGCAGCAGCAGCAGCTGGGCCTCGCAGCGGGGGTGGCGAGCCCGGCGCCGGGCGTCCCTCCCCCCGCACCCTCCTGAAAGACCTGGGGCGGCCGGAGGGGGCGTCGGGCATTCAGTGACCGTCTGCCAGACCCCAAGTGTCGCTCCCTGCACCCGCCTCCTACCTGCCGTGGCGGTGCGCTGCAATGATTCTCCCTGACCCATGACAATTTTCCATGTCTCCCTTTTTAAATGGACAACATGATTCAACTGCTAGCCAGGGGAAGGGTGGTGGAGGAATAGCTGCGTCATGATCCCAAAGGGTCACACCGGTCGTCATGCGTTGATCCATCTGCCCCACGTTGACGGCCTGGCATAGAGGGGGCAGCGGCAATCCACCACATTGTGACAGTGCTACACGCATATCAACACTCGACCAGACTTCAAGACGCATCCATCGTGCGAGGGGCTACTGGAAGGGATGCTTTGCCTCTCTCAGTGGAGTCCGGCCTGTCGATGCTCGCACCCTACTTTGTCCCCGGTATCGCGCATGAAAAATCCGAGCCTAACCCTGATTGCAGGGCCATGCTGGTCAAGGGCGGGATGGCTCCATCGGACACTCCTTGTGAGCCACCACCTTTCTCCAACGTGTCCAGACTCGTGAACGGCGTCGACTCTTCCCGGTACCAAGGACACCGGAACCATGCAGCATGTTAGCCTGAGCAGCAGGACGGGTGAGCCCATGCGGGGCCGTGTGGGCGCGCATGGATCGTGTCGCTCCTCTCCCTAGGTCATGATAGAGCTCAGAGTGTGTCCAGGTGACCGATCCCAACCTCCCTCGCATCAGGCTTCGTGGGGACCCGCCTGGCCGCCCGCCCTTCGACCATCAGGGCCCGGGCGGTGGGCATGCCACAGGTCCGTGCGGCCGCGAGCGGCTACCAGTGGCTGAAGAAGGAGCCCATCGTCATCCTGGCCGGCTTCCTGGGGTGCGTGGAAGGTGCCTCGGCATGATGTCGCGGTCGTCATCGGAGCTTGCATGGGTGCGGTTCGTGGTGTGATGTGATCCTGTTGCCCTGCTTGGGACCCCTACAACACCACTCTGGGCCCCACACCCGCTGCCCGCTTTGCACCAGACCTGGACCCTCAGCATCCACCCTCCTCCCACCCCTCTCCCCCAACCTTGCAGCTGGTTTGCCCCCTCCAACATCGGGGTGCCTGCCCTGGGAGGGAAGAGCCTCTTCGGCCTGTTCTCCGAGTCCATCGGCCAGGAGCTGTCCCACTTCCCCGTCGGCCCCGCCCTCACCGACAACTTCTGGCTCTACCTGGTCACCTGGCACGTGGGTCTCTTCCTGACCCTCTTCCTGGGCCAGATCGGCGTGCGTGGCCGTGCCCAGGGCTACTTTGACTGACAGGGGCCTCTGCACCTGGAGAAGAATCAAGCGATCGGGGAGCTGTGCCCGCCGTAGAACCGAGGCCAGACTGTAACAATAATGAGCAGCATGGAGCTGTCAGAAGGGGGCCTTGCACCAATAGGGGGAGGGGCAGTGTCCTGCATTGCTCTCCAGGGGACGAGGGAGGACAGGAAGCCAGCAGCAGGGGCGGAGGGCCGGACCGCATGCAGGCGCGGCTGCAGGCGCGCCTCGGGTGTCGAAGCAGCGACCCTGCCGCCTCCTAGGTGGCGGTGCCGTACCTGGCCGTCCATTCCTCGAACTGGGCCATGGACTCTGGGGTCAAGGAGGGCCTGATCACCTGCAGGCCCGCCCGGAAGTCGGCCACGGTCAGGCCGCGGATGCGATTGGCCGGCACGGTGGCGACGCGGCGGCCCAGCTCCCGGATGGGGGCCATGGCCGCCTCCTTGCACAGGGCCGCCAGGTCGGAGCCTGAGTACCTGTGCATGGTGAAAGGAGGGGAAAGGGGATGGCTGGGCAATGCTGAACTGCGCCCGCGAGGACCCGGCCCTGTGATCTGGGAGACAGTGTGCACGGGGTACGGGCCCCATTCGCACATGTAGTGCCGGCAACGGCTCGCCCTCGTGCAATTCGCAGCATGCTCATGCCTGGCCATGCTCAGCAGCAGCCTGGATCACTTCATCGAGGATGGACCCCCCCTGATGCGCTCAAAGAGCAGGCATTCTCGCTGGAGCACGGCCTGAGACAGCCCCTGCTCCCCCCTCAGGCACCCCCGCAGAGTCCCGCCTCCCCCCCCTCCAATACACACACACACCCCTCGGTCAGGCCTGCGACGACGGCCGGGATGCCGGGGTCGGCCCTCTGGCCTCGCAGCATGCCCTCCAGCAGCGCGCGCCGCCCCTCCGCGCCCGGCAGGGCGACGTAGATGCGCTTGGGCAGGCGCCGCACCACCGCCTCGTCCAGGTCCCAGGGTCGGTTGGTGGCGCCCAGGACCAGCAGGTGGGCGGCCCCCGAGGCCACGCCGTCAAAGGCGCTCAGGAACTCGGTCTTGAGCCGGCGCGAGGCGTCGTGCTCGTCGCCGCGCCGCGCGGACAGCACGGAGTCGATCTCGTCGATGAAGATGATGGAGGGCGCCGCGGCGGCGGCCACGCGGAAGAGCGCGCGCACCAGCTTCTCCGCCTCGCCGTGCCACTTGGAGGTCAGGGAGGCCGCCGAAATGTTGAAGAAGGTGGCCTGCGCCTCGTGCGCCAGGGCCTGGGCCGCCCAAAGAGGGGTTGAGAGAGGGAGCATGGTGGGCGGCCTGAGGGGGGGCTGGCGCTGGCTTCACGGTTTCAGGGTTCCACGCGATGGAGGGGCGGGTCTGACTCGAGTGAGAGATGCCGAACCTGGCGCAGCGCGGGGCCTGATGTGCCGGCTGCACTGCAGACTTCGCCATGCAATCGAATGCAACTTCCCCCCTCCGGTGACCCCTCCTCACCTTGGCCAGCAGGGTCTTGCCGTTGCCGGGCGGGCCATAGAGGAGCAGGCCCCTCGCCGGCGCACGCAGGCCCTGGAACAGGTCTCTGCGCAGCGTCGGGAGCACCACCATCTCCTGCAGCGCCTGCAGTCGGCATGCAAGGGAGGAGGGGTGGGGGGGAAGGCGGCTCGACGACGCAGGCCGACCCCCCATGAACATGCAGTGCCGCCAGTGTGGGGGTGTACCAGCACATGAGGCAGGCACGGGTCCTCCTCCCCCCGCCGCCTGCACACCGGCCGCCGGGCTGCGGGCATGATCGGCCCGCGCATGCACCCGGCCGCCGACAGCTCGGCCATGCACCCATCCCACAACCCCATGCCCGCGGCACCTGCTTCGCCTTGGCCAGGCCGGCCACATCGTCCCAGCCCACCGCCGGGGAGTCGTCCAGCACCTCTGTCAGGATTCGGTCCTCGTACGCCCTTTCCTCCTTGTCCGCCGCACCGGAGGGCTGGGAGACGGCGGAGCGCAGGGGCGGGGGTGCGGCGGCCCTGGATCCCGGAGTGGGGTGGGACAGCGAGCGCGGCACGGTGCCGCAGGGAGGGCCCCGCGCGCCCGCCGCGGGCGGCAGCGGCGCCCCCCGCCTCAGGCGCTCCTCCGCGGCGCTCAGCCAGGCCTGCATGTCGCCGCGCCAGCGCTGGGTGTTGCTGTGCGCGGCCTCCAGCCCCAGGCTCGGGGGCAGGGGCTGGGCCAGGCCCTCGCACAGGATGCTCTGCGCCGCCGTCCACAGCCGCGTGGCCGCCTGGGTGGCGCCCGATGCGTCCTGCCGCTGCGCCCTGTCCACCGCGTCCTGGTCGATGTGCAATGGGGCAGGTTGCATGGGGTCTGAGGGTGTTGGGCGGCCAGCAAGATGGTTTGCTGGCATCTCCAAACAACATGCCAATGAGCGGTCTGCGCAACCCACGCACAGGTCTTCCCACGCACAGCACAGCACAAAGCTCGGTGAGAAATTACTCCTTCAGGATCAGCAGCACCCCCACCTGAGCCAGATCATGGTAGCCGCGCAGTTTCTCAACCCGTCGTCTGCTTTCTGCAAGGGCCGACAGCGGCTGGGCCGGTGGGGGGGAGTCGCTGCTCGTGCCCTTTTTGGGCGCTGTGAACCACTGCATCACACATGCAATGGGATGCAGGAGGGTGGGTCAGGCCCACCCCCGTTCTGGTAGAGGTGCCGGGGGAAGGACAGACCCGCAAGTGATCGAGAGAAACGGAGGGCGAGGCGTGCGGGTGCGCAGGCTGAGCGGTTGTGTATGAGCATTTAGATTCAAGAATAGTGACACTTTTTCATATGGTTCAGGCTCGCTGGATGTAGTCGAGCATTGTCGAGTGCGAAAGCCACGCATCAGTTCCTCCGCGGGGGTAAAAGGTCTGGGTTGGGATTAAGACTTCATGGCAACATACTGGACAACACACCGGATTTTGAAGCACCTCTGGGCCACATGCATGAGCTCCCTTGACCATGACTAAGAATTACACACTGGATCGGCCTGGTAAGCTTTCAAGAGAGCGAGGACTAACTTCAACTTTGCAGGATGCTGCCACAAGCGCTCAACAAGGGAGGTCATGGGCAAGGAGGATGTGGGAGGATTAACGTCTCAAACTCTTGTGCTTGCTGTAGCAGCAGGGAGAATGGGTGTGGCAGCTGCAGCAGAGGAGGGGATCTTGAAAAGGGAAGGGGGAGGGGGGGGGGACAGGGAAGCTGCGGATGGTCCGGGCATCAAGGCTTCAAGCCTGCAGCATGCGCCGCCCGTGGTTGTGGTGGGCATGCTCCCCCATGGGGGCCGCCATTGCTGCCTCCATAGAGTCCTGGGCCTCCACCGGGGTCTTGGGGCCCCCACCCCTCACCCACTCCACGATGGTCGCCGCGGAGGGGTCGTCGCTGGGCTCCTCGGCAGGGCCCTCCAGCTCCTCCACCTCGCCCGTGGTCTCGGTGTTCTCCTCGCCGCTGGTCAGCACGAATACGATGCTGCCGTCGGCCAGGCCGTTCTGAACGTTGGTCAGGTTCCAGGCGCTGTAGGCGGCGGTGAGGCTGCTGGGGTGGAAGATGCCGTAGATGTCGGCGTCGCCGGAGATGGGGTTGGTCACCGGCTCCAACGCGGTAGGCAGCAGATCCACGACTAACAAGGGACGAAGAAAGGGAGAAGATGGGGGTGAGACTGATGGACGTGGGCCTTTGGAAAGCGAGCATGGCGTGGGAGGAGAGAGCGGGCTACCCAGGCTCGGGCTATCCAGTCGTTGCAGTTCGAGTTCCCATCTCAAGGTGCAAGGTACTCCTGATCCAAGGCCCAGCCCCCTCCCACCCTTCCCCTCCCTCACCGGTGGTGATCATGCCGGCCGTGATCTGAGCCAGGCTGATGCCTGTAACCTCCTCTGCCCCGGTCACATTCAGCTCCCAGAAGCCGTTGCTGCTATGGTAGAAAGAATACCATTCCGCGGTGGTGACCCCGTCATCCACGGTCGCCTTGAACCACCTGCACGGGAGAGTTTGGGAGATGTAGTGCACTTCTAAAAGTAGTGCGAAAGCGGCCGAGCAAGCGCGCGAGCATGAAAATGTCCGCGAGGTCTAGGGTTTATCGTGAGATAATCGAGTCGCCGCTGGTACAGGTACCATCGGCGGACCATCCTCAAGCCTCATAAGGCTCACCTGTGGCCGTAGGCGCCGGAGCCCAGGCTCAGAGCGCATACCAATGCAAGAATGAGACCGGCGCGGGACATTGTCAACGGTTGTAAGGTTTGAGGCAGGTGCCTTAAGCCGTCGCGAGGGGCTCGGAAGGGACAGAGGAGGGAGAGGCAGAGTCACTGGAATGCCAGGAGAAAACAGAGTCTGAATGAGTGGGAGTGGGGGAGTAGTGTATGTGGATCGGGGAATGCACAATTATGCACCCATCGGCCGCTCTTATCCCCCCTGTCGGGTCGATTCCCGCGCACCGGCGCTGGTACAATTCAATCACGTTTCCCTGCGTGCGGGCATGGACAAGATTCGTCGGGCCGGTGAGTGTACGCCAGAGCGCTTTCCAAGCAGTCCCAGTGCATGTACATGCTACGGTACCGTATAGGACGGCTTTGAGCAAGGCTGTGGCCGCTGGCCCATTGATGATGGATACCCTCACCCTTTTGGGGTTCCTAGGAAAGTCCGCAGCCCTGCCTTGGCACGAAGTCGACATTCCTGCCGTCTCAGACCCGATGAACATGCATTCCAACCTAGAGAATCATGATTTTCAGCAGAAATAAACTTACAAACCATGCACGGCTGGGGCATGTAGCTGACGGCAGGCCTCCAAGGCTCCTTGCGAGGGGCAGCCTACATGTTTTCACTTCCTCCCCGACTTGAGGTCCTTGTACAGCTGCTTCAGCTCCGCCTCGTACTTGCTCTTCAGCTGGGGCCTCTTCACCTTCAGGGAAGGCGTGAGCAGGTTGTTTTCCGGCGTCCAGGGCTCATCGTCCAGGTGCACCGCCCTCACAAACTCGAAGCCCTTGAGCTTGTTGGCCTTGGCCGTCTTGGACAGCTCCTCCACCATGGCCTTCTTGGCCTGCGCGGGGTAGGGGTTCAAGTCAGGAATGGAGCTTTGTGTTGAGGCTACAGCTCTGATCTTGGTAGAAATAAGACGGGGGCCCAGCCTCCGCGCCTCAGATGGGGCGTCCATGCAATGCGTTTCCCCTCGGCACCCCAGCACCAGCCATCAGCGCACACCCCACAACCCACCTCTGGCTTGTTCAGGGCCTCCTTCCCGCCGTTTTCCTTCAGCCAGTCCTTGGCGGGGATCACCACGGCGATGAGCTGGGATTCGGTGGACTCGCCATGCACCCAGATCTATAGGGGTGTTCAGGGGGATTGATGTGAGCTGAGGGTAGGTGGAAGGACCACCTCAAACACGGGGGTCATCTGGAAGCTCACACATCCTGAGCAAGGCTGCACAAGTTCCAGCCCTCCGCCCCGTTGACCTGCTCGAGCGCATCGGAGCGGTTGTAGACGTTTTCCAGATGCTCCACGGCAATGTACTCGCCTGAACACGGGACCCGGGGGGGGAGAGCGGAGGAGGGTCAGTGCCAGGGGGAGGGTCAGTGCCAGGGGGAATGGGCAGCCTGAATCCTGGTGCGCACGGCGACGCACGCTTCGTGGCGGCCCTTTTTTAAAGTTTCCTCGAATGGACCCCCCCCCCCC